TTTTTTTTTTTTTTTTTTGTAATCAATTCCTCTCTTTTCTTTAATACAATTTGTCTCCCCTTTCTTCTTTAGATCTTGATCTTTTTCACATTTAGTCCCCATGTGTTTTCTCTCTTAAATATATCATTTTGTCAATCACAATTGAAATATCGCGCTTCCAATCCTCTTATTGAATCGCCTTGAGTTCCCTTATTTCCTTGTCTTTGTTCAAACACTGTGTTACATTTTGCTACTTTGGCCTGAGCCTCCTTCCCCAATGGCTATAGCTTACTGCGCCGACGATTATCAAACAGACACGAACTGGTCTATAGTCATGCTGTGCTCTAGATAGGTAATATACACTCTTATTTTTTTAGTTTTATATAACCTCCTCATTCGTTTGGCCCTCTTTCTTCTTTACATCTTGTCTCTTTTGTCATGCGTGTCTTTCCCATGTCGTTTGCTGATGTGTATTTTGGTCATTGTCACGTGCAAAGCTTAATAAGAATGAGCGTCATTCCATGACTGACTCTAATCACTTTGTTGTCAACTATTTAAAGAGAGAAACATGCTGCCAATGACGACAAATAAAGGAAGGAGAGTAGAGCTATGGGAAATTTTATGCGCTTTCTTTGTTTGGTAAAGATATAAAAAATAGAGGTCACTTTTTCATAAAAAAAAGAGGACATGTATCAGAAAGGTAGCTCTTGATATTTCATTGTATTTTAGATATTTGACAAGGGGGATGTCATGTTACTATGAGCAAGATAGTATTAAAAAAACACTACATTTCTTAGTACTTGGTTGCGCCACCACTAGCGTGTTTCAATAGGTCCGACCCGTAGGTAGCTCATGATTCTGTACTACCACCTGTGCTTATTTGTGTCATGTTCAATTGATATTGATCAACACCCTGAAGCTTCTTTTCAGTTATTGGTGTATCTGATAAGCTTAAAGTACATTTCTAATAGCTCCCCTTTTCAGACTTGATTATCATTTTATCCCACTGTCAAAAGAATGAGAAAAAAAAAGAGCCAGTTCATGGTTCATGGCAATGTTACGTTGGCTAATACTATTTTTTTATTTTTTTATTTTTTTTTTTTTAAAAAAAAACAAGACAAAAAAATAACAGAGTTACGATGTTTACTTGTTTTCCTTTTAGTGAGGTTAAGTGAAGACAAGAAAAACAAGGAGTAGAGCGATAAGGTGAGATCAGAAAAGTAACTCCGGTGCACTCTCAGGGAAGCTTATCATTGTAAAAACGGAAGAGTAAGTTGATTTAGACCCTATCGTACAAGGTAAGCATCGTTAGGATCACTTGTCACTCTTTAAAAAGTGACAAGATACAGGTTTAGCCATGGATTTATCATTTCCATGGCTCTTGCAATATTGGATGACAGAAGCTTTGAATTCTTTAAAAAACAGAGTTTACAAACAATAATGGAAGAAAGTATATCTTATGGAAGGTTTTAAAGATTTTCTTGTAGATAAAGTATAATCTAAAATACGATTGAAACATTTGAATAAGGCAAGAAAATGTTGCAAAGGGCTAAAAAGCATAAAGTCGGCCTATAATAGTAATATTTATATTTTATTTAACAAATACAAGTAAAAATTGTTACATTAGACCGAGATACAACATGCTAAAGTGATATCTTTGCATTAATTAGTAAGAATTATGTCAAATAATCTAAAAAAAAGTAGCATTGTGTGAGTTTTAAAATAAGGAAAACAGTGATGTAAAATTTATGCTAAAGTGGATGATAACGTCTAAAGTATCTTTATAGAATCGCACTCTTTTACTCGTGATTAAAATTAGATTTGCTTGTAATAATTGTCATTTATGCAAAGTATGAATTCATTGAAAGCCATTCATATAATCTTAGATACAATCTTGTAGCTTTTTTTTTCTTTTTTTTTTTTATTTATAAAAGAAGAAAATACTTCTTCTATTTTACTCGTCAACCTTTCTCGTGTTGGTCCATTCAATGGGTCGTAACTACAAAGATGAAAACCAAACAAGGCTCTATTTTGCAAGAAAAGATAGAAATGACATGATTTTTTTTTTAGAATGGGTTACTATAAAGTTTCTTTCAAGTAAATCCTATCTGTTCCAAGTTCGTTATTGATTAAAAGACATAATACGTATATCATTTAGTGTTGCATTAACTTGACGCACATCTTCCAAGTGTTTATTAAAGAGAAAATATATAAATATATATCCTGTCATTAGCTTGCTATAATCAAGACTCGGGATGCTAAATAAGGCTACTGACAACATGGTATATATATAAAAGCACATTTTTCTCCTTTTCACCTTGCTTTCTGCTCAGAGTTGGTTAAGCCTTTGGGCTCACTCGTTTTCTTACTACTATCGATCATACCTTCTATTGAAAAGACTTTTTCAATAGAACAATAAAAGTCTCTACTTTAAAAAACTGTACTTTTGATTTTTTTTTTTTTTATTAAATAATGTATTGAGAAACAAGATGTTATTCTCCACTAAAATTCAGTATAATTCACATTTGTTCTTTTTATGCATTTTATTTAAATAAACTATGTAACACGTAATATTTGCAATACATTTTTTTTGTTTAAAAGAATCCCTTAACGTCTATTCTTCTTTTTAATGGGTGCTTCGGCAAATTCACCTTTTCTTTTCGCTCTTCGTTCATCAGCTATAAAAAGACAATGAGTCATGTATCACATTTTTGTATTTGTATTTTTACCTCTTCGAGCATTTTCTTCTAATTCATCCCAGTCTTCACCTGAGTCTGTCAATTCTTCCTCTTCTTCTGATTCTTCAGAGGCATAAGAATCTACTTCACTTTCTTCATCGCTAGAACTTTCTTCAAATTCATCTTCTTCCAATTCAAATTCACTGCCGCTTTCTGATTCTTGTCCTGAACCTTCATCATCACTACCGCTGCCCAGGAACGAAGACCAACCGCCGTTTCTGAAGAACTCGGCGGGATCGTCATTGATGGTCTTCATGATCATGCTCCAGTTCAAATTGACCGAACCTTCGGTAAATGCCACCTCGACGGAGTCCAGCCAGTCTTTCACATTATCCAATTGTGACATGGGAATCGTGTTAATATGTACAGGTGCTCTGTTAAAGTCCTTAAAGATAAAGACCATATCAAAATTCTTTAGTCCAAACTGGACACGTTCAAGATGGACAAGTTCAACTTCACTTAGGGTAATACAAAGGAAAGGTGGGTCGGACAAATGGACAAGACAGTCGGTCGTAGGTTGTAGCAGCACATTGGACCTGAACGGCACACCTTGGAATCCAAGTTCTCTGAATGGAACATCGAGTTCAATCGCTCCATCGCTCGCTTCGGCAATCTTTTCTGCAAATTGCTTAAATTCTCTGTTCAGCTGTGCTCTGCGGCGACGTTCCTCTTGTTCAGATTCAATTTCATCTTCATCGCCATACATGTGACGACGTCGCTTGTTTCCAGTTTCGTCATATTGGATATCAGAAGCTTCACGGTAGAATTGTATGTCCTTTGTCTTCTTTTTACCAATCAAAATAGGATTCTTGAAGTGGATATGGATCAAGACGAGTAGTTCATTGTCACATGGCTGGAAAAATAAATGCTTGATGTTGCTAAAGAGGACATTGAAGGAAGAGTCTGATCGAATCGACTGGTACTTTAAACCGTTTTGGTGAATTTCAAGCTCACCAGGCAATCGCTTGGATTCTGTCAAAGGACGGACGTAGACATCGGACAAACGGAGAGGTTTACGACCTTTGACCAGATTCAATGTGCCTTGTTCGACAACATCAGCCATCTCACGACGTTCGGCTTCCTTTTTGGTAGCTTCTTTCTTCATATCCATAATAGCCTTATAGATCTCACCCATACGATGTGTATCTGCACTTCTAAACGTCAAGGCACGTACGAAGGTGGCATTGATATCATCAAATGAAAAATCTTCCTTCTTACTTCCTGCTTGGCCAGGAGTCAAGAAATTGAGACGCAGCATCACAAAATCTCCTTCGTCACTCTTGCTTGCGTTCTTTAGTGTAGAAATATGGAAGGGAACTGCCATACCATAGATCGGCAAAATGATAGAATCGTGCTTTCGATCCACAGAAATTTTGAGGCCCTTTGCGTCTCTTGGTAATTTGGCGTCGGATCGATAACTTTCAAATCGACGAAACAAGGGCTTTTCCTCACCATTATCACCTCCAGAGGATTCGGAATATTTGGCTAGACCTTCTGCTAGCTTTTGAGCAAACAGTTGTTTTTGGTGCTCTTTTCTCTTCTGCTCCTTGGATTCGTCTTCCTGATCTTCGCTTCGGAACTTGCTACGAAGAATGGCGGATTTGGCGATGGACGATTCACGCTTGGAAGGAGCCGAGGTAGATGCAGCCTTTTCTACCTTTTCGCTTTCTTTCTCCTTATCTTCGCTTTCATCAAAAAAGTAGGAAATCTTGTTGAGCTTTTTACTGCAGTCAGCTGTCAGTACTACGGGCGCTTCATTTGTCACACGAACGGTATCGACCAACATGAGAGCGTAGGTCTTACCACGGTCATCCTTTGCCTTGGGATTAACAAGATCAGAGAATCCGACTTGAACATTAATGATCATTCCGTTCTTCAATTCACGGTTGTTTTTGGCGTTCAGTACATAATTTGCTTCACGGAATTCAATACCCATGCCAAATCCAACGTTTTTGGTAAAGTTCTTTTCAAGATCGGGGCGCTTGGCTCGAACGAGAGAAATAGCGCGTTGATAGATATCCTTAATCTTGACACCATCACGGATAGAATCCAAGACTTTGTTTTGAACTTCAAGTAAAAATTCATAGTTCTTTTCTTGTACTTTAGTAGGGTCAATGAGGAACGTACGACCAATGTTGGAACAATAAAATTTGTAACGCAGACCGAGACTGCAAATGATGACACCGGGATAAAGCTTTTCGTTATTCGATGCTGCGGATGATCTCAAGTCGAATTTTCCACCGCTCTGAATAATGGGTGTATAGCACCAATCCAAATCCTTATCGTTATCAACCTATTTCAAACCATAAGTCTTAATCATGATTTTACTCTCTATCTCTTACTTCTGGTGGAAGTTTAATACGAGACAGCATATTTGGATCTTCCAATACTTCCTCCGTATTGTTGCTTAACTTTTCATGAGTTATTGGCTTTTCCTCGTCAATCAAAGTAGACATTTCAGGAACAAAATAATACTGCATCACATTTGAGCTGACCTTTGCTGCTGTTCTGACGTTTCTCTATACTACATTTAGATGGCAAAAAAATCAAACGAAATGTACGTACCACTTCCTCTTCATCCTTTTCAGCCAAACAAACACCAATCGCAGTTGATATATCAATTTCTTCATAGTTTTTCTTAAACGTCTCACATGCTTTCTTCCACTCTTCAATATTCTTGCCACTGAATTTATCTTTTACGACTACGCCAACTCGTTTCTTTACAATATAAGACAATCATATATCAAGAGAATAGCTTTACTAAAAACTTACATTGTTTAAATCTTCAATGACTGATTTATATAATTCAATATTTTCTTCCAAGTTCTTTCCACGACGAATCACATTGACAGGTATTTGCTTATCGCCTTGTTTAACAGTTTCAATAGCATCTGCCTTTTTATGACTACAGACGACTGTTACTTGGTTTGGTTTGATGATCCAAAGTGTTTGGAAGAAAGGATGACCTAGCAACCATGTCTAACAGGGAATTAGATGCGAAATATAAAAGAAGCTTTTTTTTTTTAATTTACTTGAAGCGCAATAGATTTTCTATATGGATTTTCAAAATCATCGTCTCCAATGACGAGTGCAATAGCGTCAACATTTTGAAATGATTCAGTATCCGTCTATTTTAGGGTTAGATTGATTCATGTGTTTGTTTTTGTATTGTTTACCTTCCACTTGGAAGCTAAATATCTTAATCTTCGATGAAATCGTTTGTAGTCTAATTGGACCGACATGTCTGATTTTATTATAAAAGAAAAAAAAAAAAAAAAAAGAGGAAGAAAGGGAAAGCCCGCGTTTAAGCTAATTTTAAAAAAAAAACAAGTCATAGCACAGCATAGAAACACACACGCACGCGTCGCGCCTTTTTCTTTTTTCGTTTATTTAAACTGCGCATTGTCGTGAATTAAACAAACACTCCACCACATACACATCTTCGCCCTAAACTTTGATACCATGAAGCAGAAGAAGAAGGATCCAAGAGATCAGAGTCGGTATGAACAGGTAATATATGTTGATGACATCTATAATAATAATAAGCAAAAGCAAAAGAAAAATACAAGATATCCATACCGAATACATAAGTGCGTCTTTACATTGTCTCCAAGGGGTCTTTTACGAATGGGATCGTATTTAGCAAGTATCTCTTTTTCAATATAAATACATGGTTTGACACATTTATCTTTATATTTTAAAGATACTTGTTGAAGTTTAGGTATTGAATAGCCTTGTAAAGTAGATGTCAAGAGTAGAGACCATCTATTACTGACTATAAAATATGGTTTATATACATTGTTGAGCTATACATCTATGCATACCTTTTGTATTTGCTTCAAGATGACTCAAATCATTTAATAAATCAACAACTTGACTAATTACAACCGGTGGCTCCTTTTGTAGATTATCAGTGTACTGCTGTAGTAATGCCTGTGATTCGGGCAGATGGTCTAGTTGGTAAGTAGCACTGCTTGCAAAAGTTATAAAGTGTGGAATGAATGTCAATATCTTCATCAGGTAGTCTCTAGATTCTTGATGCAAGAATAATACGGCATGTACTGGCTTTTGATGAATCATTTCCTCTAATAAAAAGATAAGAAAACAATCTATATATCTTTCAAACAAAACTTACCTGATATCGGATGTTTTTCTGAGTGAAGTAGAATATTCCATTCATGTAGAATCCATTTGAGAAAATCAAATATCCAGGTTGTTAATATCACAAGTGACCAAAGACTATTGGGATCAAATTCCAAATAAACACTTGTTTCTTTGCTCAATGCCTTTTCTATATCCTCATAGCTTGACATACAACTGGCAATGAAACTATCGAGTATGATCGGTAACTGAACTGCTCTGGACAGGTTGGTACTCTGAACATGTTTTGTTGGAAATTCGTTAAAGGTGGCCAGTGCTAATCCGTAACCCTTTTGCAATGCACCCAAATTCCACTCTTCATCGCCTTCATGGTGCTGTTCATACATCCTCAAGACATCTTGCATGATCTCTAATGATATGTCTGTTTTTGATACTTTGCTTATTCTTACTACTTCTGATATTAAATCTGTACTGTCTGTGTTGTTCAATAAACATTGAACCAATTTGAGACTTTGATACTTTACTATATACTGAACATAAGAGCCCCTTTTTGCTACTCATATAGCTTTCATTTACCTTGCTGTTCGTTCAACGTGTCATCTGTTATTCTTGCTACACCCATTTTACCTGATCCATACATATATACTATATGCGTCTCATTGATCGAAAAGACAATGTCACTGATAGTATCTTTTTTGGGTTGAACAACACACCAGAATCGAGGGTCAAAGGAAGGCGTCTCATTGCTTTTTAATAATCCATGACTTGATATTTCTAAATGTATACTTCCATCTGATAACCCCACTACTAGATTTCCATCCTGTGTACACTTTAAGCATGTAATAAACTCGGCATCTATCGGTATCTCTGATGTCAAAGAGAGCGTCTACAGCAAATAAGTGGTGATGTTTTGTATATTAAAAGTAAACTTACGGCATGTTTAGCTGAGATGGTGCCAATGCTTAAGTTCAGAGATTGATCCATTGTGCTCAACTCCCAGTGCTGAATATATGATTTAAATGTTTGATCCGACTTTTCTATTGCGTATATTTAGTATATACCTTTCCAATGTGTTATCTATCAATCCTACCTCCTAAGCCCAAATAGAGCTCTAGATTGACTCCTGACTTAAAGACCATTTGAGTAACATGAGCCTTTTGCAAAAGACAAATGTTCGCTACTTGTTTTCTTCTGATCGCTCCCTTCTTGTCTACGGTTGGAAACTTGATGTCGAGTGAATACAGTTGTATTTCCTTTGTTTGACAAGACACAGAGTGTGTTGCAAGATAGATGGTGTTATTGATGGACGTTATAGCCGCGTGTGATATACGTTGCCAATCGTCAATGCCAGAAAGGGACATACTGTAACAACTCGTGTCGGATCGTCTAATGTCGCGCCTTCCTGTACTTGGGAGATGTGCACTAAAACTTGAAAAGATGGCACCATTGCGTTGATAATGAACTGTGATCTCTCCATGTACTGTTATTGTGATGAATCCAAGGTGGCCAAATGGATTCTTTAAGCAATTCTTGGATTCGCGTATGAATTTGTCTTGTTCAGAAACGTACTACATTTTTTGAATAAGAATATTTTCAAAAAGTACGTTATTGTTCTACCTCACGTTCAGCATCTAACCAGTGGAATGCAGCTAAAGGTTGTTTCAAGTGAGTATTGTAGAGTAATTTCCATTTGTCAACTGGTCCCTGTTTTTGTAATGATGAGATACTTGTAGTAAATTACAAAATATATTTACTTGAATTTGCCATAAAGCCAATTGTCCAGTCTCATCAATAGACGCAAACGTGTTTCCCTTTTTATTCCACTGCAAATGAGTAATTGCATATTGCTTGTGAAAGTTTTCTATTAATTCAATACGCCTCTTTTGAATCAATGCATAATTGTACAAGTTGCCTGTGATCCAATTGACTTGACTTGGTATTGGCTCACTTGGCACTGATACGAGAATATTTTGTTTTGATATAGATAATGCCTGTGGCGCTTGCTTGAAGGTGAGTGATGAAAAAATAAAGGCATCAGAGTATTTGGCTGTCTTGTCTGTCTTTTGTCTCTTCACCAGTTGAACCATATCTAAAAAAAAAAAAATATGAAAGAGAGAGAGGCTATTTTTAAATCTCTTGTGAAACAGTCCCCCCGTCTTTTAGGAAAAAAAAAAAAAAAAGGAAATCAAAAGAAGCCCTTTTTTTCTTTTACATATTTTTTTTTTTTTTTTTTTTTTAACTATTGTTTACTATTAATGACTACTAACGCATTACATATGCAAATATCTCCTGGTTCAAACTTTGCAGATGCCTTTTGGGTATATATATATATATATTGTTTATTTAACATAAACTAACATGCTATATAGGACGACAATTTTAAAGGTGTTGATATTATATTCAATCGTCTAAAAAGGTCAAAGGAGACTTGTGAAGAAATAAAACGACTATATGAGTCAAGGTTTACATTTCAACTAAACAAAAAAAAAAGGAGCTTTTTATTTATATTGTGCCTTTAGAGCTCAAATTGAACAAGAATATGGTGAAAGACTTTTAAAGCTTGCAGCAACATCTAGAGTTGGAGAACATGAAGAAGGCAGCTTTGCAGAGACACTATCTCGTATTCCTTCAACATTGGAAACAACAGGTCGAGCCCATATTGACTTGGCTCAGCAACTGAGAGATCATCTTGAAATACCGCTGGACGGGTTTCTTAAGGAACAACGAGATATACGCAAATCGGTAGGATTGATCAAACAAAAGACTTATAAATTAATCCCTTCTTTTGTATCCTATAGCAACACACGCAAATTGAAAATTTAAGACAATTGAAAAATTTACATGAAGCCGAGGTTGCACGAGTAAGTGGATCAGTTTAACATGATGTCTGCAGTACTTAAAGTATATAGGCAAGAGAATACTATTCTAATGAAAGCATAAAGTTGATGTCACTCGAAAAGCATTTTACAGTCGAAGTAAGTACTTGGATTCATCTTGATCTGTCTCTTGTCTCACCTCCCCCTTCCTTAGATGGAAAAAGAGATTGAGGAGCAAAGAAAATTGGTGACTATTGCTGGTAAAATAATAATAAAAAGGAAAGAAAATACGTGTTGTAACTATTAAAACAGAACAGGTGTATAGAAGAGCAGTTGATAACCTAAATGCTGTGAACGAAAGATGGATTTGTGATTGGAAGCATAGTGCTGATATACATCAAGAGATGGAAGTCAAAAGAATTACTTATTTAAGAAGCACCCTTTGGACGTAAATAATACATCAAAGCCACTTGGGCATTGAATAACAAGTTTATAAATAGATTTGCCAACATGTTGACAAGTACATTCAATATTGATGAAGAAGTAAGCAACTTGTGTATATTAAAAGGGAGATATTTATTCATATAAAAACAGTGTTGTGATAGAATACGTGCTGCTTTAGAAATCACCGATGTTCAAAAGGACATCACTGATTTTGTTCAATGCCACAGAACTGGATCAAAGCTTCCATGTGAGTAACTAAAAATAGACTTTTTAGACTCTTTCTTATGTATGATATAGCTCCTATTCCTTATGAATCATTTTATAAACCCGTCAAGCGAGAACTCTATTCACAACAACCATCCAAGGAATCACTCACTCACAGCGTTACTGTATTAACAAACCCTGACGAGGAATTAAAATCAGTCGATCATCAGCTTCAGCAATTAGAACAACTGCAGACGCCAAGACTTGAACCTGCAAATGACCTGCCACTAACAGGTGCCACTGTATCGACACATAGTCATGTCAGTAGTGCAATGAAAGAAGTAGAGCAGATGCTGAATCAGACCAATGATAGCTCAAGCACCCATCTTGATAACTATAACTTGGCCGTGCATGAATCAACCGATAGATTTTCAGCTGATATCTGCAATGCATTGGGAATAAAAGAAACTCAGGACGCTACATCAAAAAACGACACCGTATCACCTTCACCAAGCCAAAGATCAAAAGAAAACGGTATAAAATACAAACCTATGCCAAACCCAAGCTTCACCAGCATACAATCAGAACACATCGAGACTGAAGAAAGACCAGTGAGCGAGACACAATCTGAAAGCAACAAACCTGAAATTCAGCCTGAACCCAAAAAGGAAGATGACGACGACGATGATAAGGAAATAGAGGAATACCAGAGTCGAATGCCTAGACCTCCACCCAAAGACGAAAAATGGGTTATTTCTTCCATTCGCAGACCACAGCAGGTGCCCATCAAGACACCCAATCATGAAGAGATTCCCAGATCCAACACAGAAAATCTTTCCCACCAAGCATCACCAGCAGAAGATAAGAAAGGACATCAACCCAAGGTTCACAAACCTGTTGTCCCTCTTACCATCGAAATCCCAAACCCCGTTAATCCTACCAAACTTCCTCAATTGGCCGCACATCAAGTCATTGAAGACGCCAGACGTCACTCTCAAATGTCTCCTGCCACCATCGAGATGAACCGCCAACAGAATAGAGATGACAACGGAGGTATCCGTCCTGCACCATGGCAGGATAGTGGTATCATGCATCCTGACGACAAGAAAGGCTATATGCCCAACATGAATGGACAGTACCCACCTCCTAATGGATACCACGCCTATCATCCACCTGAACATATCAATAGTCATCCTCGTGGCTCTTCTCTTGCCATACTTCCCAACCATCAAGATTTCCTCCCTCCTCAGCATGCGGCTTACCCAGAGGAAGAGGCCAATAAGAAACGTTCATCCAAAAGCAAGGCGGAAGCCACTGGCAAATCAGGAAAGGAGTCAAAGGGAGCTGGAAGATTTTCGCTCTTCTTTACGGGCAATAAAAAGGACAAGAAAAAGGAAAAGGAAAACCAACAACAACAACAACAACAGATTCAACCTTATATGCTAGATCATCAACAACGACCACAGAGTCATTATCAAACGCTAACAAAGGAACCTGTAGAAAAGGACGTGTTTTATAATCCTCCTGTTTCTGCGCCTATGCCTCCTACAGCCATCAATGGTTCTCATAAATTTATCTGCTATGTGAAGGCACAGTGGCCATTTGAAGCAACGGTAAATACATTTGTATATATGTAAAACATTTAACTTACCAAAATGATAGATTGAAGGTGAAATGTCATTTAGTCAAGATGAAGTGTTGGGTATTCTTCATAAGCAATCAGATGGTTGGTGGCAAGCAGAACGTTTAACAGGTGAAGCGGCCGGACAGAGAGGACTTGTGCCTGGAAATTACATGGTTGATGCTCCTCATTAAAAAAAAGACTTGTATTATATATATACCATATTCTTACTTCTTTATACAGCGTGGTGTTATTATAAAATATTATACATTAGATCTTTTTATTAAGTAAGAGAAAAAAGAGAGGTGGATTTACAGAATTCCCTATAGTTACGCTGTTCAGTATCTCCCAAATTGTATTTTATGTATATACTTGCCTGTGAATAGTATTGAAAGGTATCATATAGTCGGGTAAACACGTTACAGCAACTGCTCATGATCAGCTTGTCAACAAGCTCCTCTGCTTGAGGTTCTGTCAATTGTAATTGAAATCTATCTCTTAGCTGTGCCACCGTAAGATCTCCATTTTGGAAACAAGGTAGTTTAGAATCTTTGCACATCATTTCTGTAAGCAGCAGAATGTTTTCACTGTGCTTACGAACCGCCAAAAACGCTGCCTTCATCAGCGCTTTGTATTCAGCGAATTTCTCACCATGGATACCGCCCAAGATATCGATATATTCCTGCGGTAATTTGAATGGCGCCATTTCAAATCCAACAGAGCCAGGAGAGTTGGATAACATAAATCCGAAATCAATATCTATAAGGGTGTCAATGCGTTTATAACTACACAGAATCCTCACTTACGTATCAAATGACCAGCGTCATCAATTAATAAATTACCGTTATGTCTATCCTTGATTTGTAGTAGGTAACAAGCAATTGAATATCCTGCTAAACTTCTCATAAACGCGTCCTGCGCTTTTATGAACTCGTCCGAATCGGGTGGTCCCCATGACTATATAAAATTAATTAATAGGCCCTGCATTCGTATAACATTTGCTCTAGAGTACCCTTTCAAAGTAATCATATAGCGTAAACACCGCACCCTTTTCGTTCCACCCTCTTGTATATGCCTCCTTCTTGATAGAATGGATAGATACCGTATTGCGTAAAGTTTCAATTAAGCCAGAGTTGTCCGAAGTGACCAAGATTCTAAAGCTAAAATAGCCAAAAAAGAAAGATTAGTTTGTCTATTCATGTACGCAATTTTATCCTTACTATTTCACCCAGACATTGACACCGGTATCTTCCCAAATGCGTTGCATCTCACGTATCAGTTGGATAGCAAATTGTTCCTGTCGAAGATCCGTTCCGTTTTTCACAATGACAGATATAAGTCGCCAATTCGGTAAATGACCATAAGGTGAAGACGCACGTAGACGTTCCTTTTTGGCTTCCCAATTTTCAGACAGCACAGCAGCTTTTTTTTTTAAAAAAAAAAATGAGTTACATGCATATGACAGCGGACACACTTACCACTTGGATCCTCCTTATTGACAACCCAGGCAACACGCTGCTCATCTTCCAGCATGTCTCCGCCTGCACCTTCTCCTCCTCCTCCACCGATACCACTGCCGACACCCTCCGTCTTCATCTTCTTCATCCTTTGCTCTTCTAAAGCCACCATTTCCTGTATAATCTTTTGTCTGATCTGCTCCGTCCCCTGTCTGAACCTTGGTTTACTGTATCCTATATGACTGATCGCGCCTTGTTGCAGCTGTGCCAACATCACAGCGGCCGTACGCATACGTTCTGCATAATCATCTGCGGACTTCGAGTTACGTCGACTGGTCGAAGGGCTCACGGGAGCCCTTTTCTCGACATGTTGGAACGGATGGTACTCGCCAATATCTGCAGACACGACTTGTTCTTTTACTTTGACCGGCAAGGATGCACGTTTTCGATGTACTGGCTTTTTTAATGATTGTCGTTTACGATAAACCACAGAAGAATAACCATCATCTTCAAAACTCAATTCGTCATCCAGTACTTCTATCATGAGCAGATAAGGAGCCTAAAAAAAAAAAACCATACGTTTTTTGCCGAGTTCAGCACGACGGCATCAGACGGACTGATGCGCACGATACGATGATGATAGGGCTTTTCAGTAGTAGCAGGACACCAAAGAGGGAGACAAATTTCAGCAGGCAAGTTATGGTTCAACAAGGTCAGTTCGGCCTGTAGAGCGCTCATCCGTGCTTCCTTGGGCACAATGACCAGACGTGTGGCAATATCCACCAGGGCCAATAAGAATTGCATTTCTGATCTAAAGTAGTTTGAGCGTAGTAGGATTTTTCGGTTTTCGATGCTCAGTTTGGATAATGTCTTTTGTTCGGATACTTCTTCATCGCTACTACTACTGCTACTATTTTCATGACGACTGTGATCAGAATCATAAGACTCGATGGATGTAGACAGTTTGCTATTTTTGATGTATTTGCGGGATATATCTTCGGATGATGAACAATCCGAGAGGACAGGCGATCGAGGGGCTGTGTTGGTCGGGACCGAGGATTGTCCAAGGGCAGTCAGTTTTGGATCAAACACGGAAAGGCTCTCAAAGTTTTTACTATTACTACTGCTTTTGTCTTCCTGATTAATTTTTAGATTTAACTTTTGCTGAGCTGTTTTGATATATCTTGCTACTGAAAATGCCTTCCCACGATGAAGATCTTCAAGCGAAGGGGAACTTGTGAATGGGTTGAAATGAACATGTTTCTTTTTGGAAACAGATAGGTCCGGATGAGAGGCTGACAGATAAGGTTGGTGGTAGGAAGGCGCGATATCGGAAGCAATCGATCGCTTGGCATGATCTGGTTCACTCTCTGGTCTGATCGTGTTGTCTGTTGTATTTCTTCTCGCGAGTGTCGTCGGTGGATTGGATGTGATGCTCAGTGTTCGGTTCCTTCGACCTTGGGCAATCGCAATCTGTCCTGCAGGTCGTGTCATTAAGGGTTGTCCGATACCTGCCAGCATGGCGCCGATACCCACGATGGCAGGTAATACGTTTTCTTTGACCTTTTGGTTAGGTAAAGGTGGGGCTCTGGATGTGCCATCGTCGTGTTCGTCTGAAAAGACAATGGCTTGACATTTATTCAAGACCCGTTTGCACAACTCGAATGAGCCTCCGGATGGATTGGCAGACAAATCAGAAAGGTATGCTTGTAAATACCAAAGTGACTAAATAATGATGGCGATGATGATCAGAGCTAAAGTTGATAAAGAAACAATAGTTACCATAATCGCCATATGCGTTGATTTTTCACACATGTCTATTATAAAACACTCGAGCGCCACTGATTCTGATGGTTTGGTGATCAAAAGGTGTCTATAAGGTGTAAGCAAAAGTTTCCTAAACTATGGATATACTTACATCAATTGGGGTAAAAAGAACTCGATTTCAGATATGGGGAACTTTTTTAGCTCGGCACAGAGGTAGTGTTGAATACCAACATTATCAGAATATCGAAATAAGTAGGATACGGCTATCCATGAGTTAAAAAACTCGGAAGTAAATAATCGTAACAAGAGTGCATTAGACATTTATATTCTATGTTTAAGCTTAGGTTATGGAACATGAAGAGATCTCTAAATATTACCAGTGTTTGTTTTCTTTATGGTCACTTGAAAGTTCCACTTATAAATCAAGCCCTTATATTTTTGCTTGAATAAAGAGAGAAAAAAAAAAAAAAAAAGAAAAGCAGATGAGTAGATGTAAAGAAAGCAAATATTATAGGATTTGAACCTAAATTTGGACGATTAGAAAAATTGAACTTAAAACTTTGTGTACACACACACCAAAAGTTGTTTGTATCCAATTGCTTAAGCGATCACTTTAGCGGGAGGAATTTTTATCTTTTTTTCCGTTTGAACACTGGTGTAGGGAGCGTTTGAGTTTTGGTTAAAAACAACCAGTCTCTCGTAAGTTGAGCAAGATCTTAAAGTTACACACTGCTGCCAGATCACAGTTCCATAATTTGACTTTTTGGGTTGTATGGCCTATAGTATTACTCAACTATCTTGCAACTTTTCTCCCTTTTTACAATCAAAGGAAATAATAATGAGGTTTTCATACGTATACAACAAAAACCATTCTTTTTTTTCAACATTCGAATACTTATTTTTGATTGGCTCATGGGATTCTAAGTAGGAGCAGATCAATCTCCCATTTTTTATACTATGGACAAACACTAGGGACAGACTCAATCGATGTATTTCAATAGTTACATATCAGCCTCATATAAACGTTAGCCCTCAAACGTTCATCTTTGTCTAAATTCTGTATTTTGCATCAAAAGCTGTACTACAAAAACATCAGCTTTTATGATTCAATCGGCTAGCATTGTGAGCTATTGATAACCAGTGAATAACAATGGCTTGCTGTAATTCTTATAAAAGATGACACTTGTACAAAATACAAGACGATCGGTCTGTGACTGAATCAAGAACGATAG